CCTAAAATCTGACATAATGAAAACCATTAGTTCAATGTTTAATGTTTAAAATTGTAATATAATGACTTTCTCCTCTTTTACTGGGATTTACACGTACACGGGTATTTATGGCAGGGAATTTGTGTAAAATGTTGTTAATAACTATTAAATAGGCTATACATTATCCTGATTTTCTCTAAGCACCCCCAACTGAAGTCTCACTGATGTTTTCTGAGAAATAATGTGAAGGCTATCTTACGTGACCCTAGACTGATGAACAGGGACCACCGTGGGTCCCTGCAAGGGCTCTAGCAGTCTGTATTAACATAAGGAACAGAGATGATTGCATATGGATATGGATATGACATGTCTCCACATAAGATCCAGAAGTATATATATATATACGATCATTTTGTTTATTTTGTTTGTCTTTCAGTGGCCGAACTACAACACTGAAGAATCTTTTAAAGAGCTATTTTCGTATATTGTCCACTAACAATGTCCCTGTTTGTTTTGTGAGCCGTCTGTTAATAACGACACAATTTCCGACACGCCCTGAATGCAGCATTGCAGCAGGCGATAATTGAAACAGAAAGTGCACTCATACAGGAGACAGACACCCTGTCTTTATGCGTCCATTATAGAGAGATTACAGAGAAAATAACTAGTTTTCCGACAAACTGCGGACATGTCTAATAAAGTGTGAATCTTACAAAGGTAGGCTCGTATGTTCCTGCATTTGTGTTTGTTTATAAAACAGTTGTGTGATTGATTTATTGTCAACAATTGATTGTCAACTGCAAAACGCTTTGCAGCTGACAGCAGTGAAGACGTGGACTGGAGTCGAGTGGAGTTAAAAAAGGATCAGAATGAGTTTATTCGAAAAAGGTCGACAGTTTTTCTACAACGTTACCTCCATTCCAGGTAAGATATACCTGCTGTTATGACGGTTTATCATCCACAGTAATGGTGTGAAGAGAAAACAGCTTTGCAATTTACATGCATTCATTTCCTCCCAACAGTTAAATACCATGGCTTGGTAAACCAAGGAGCAACATGTTACCTGAACAGTGTGCTGCAGGTGATGTTTATGACCAAAGACTTTACAGAGGCTGTGGAGAGGTTTGTTACAAAAGTCAAATTTAATACCATAATGCATTTAATGTTTGTGAAGGCTATAGTGCACCTTTGTATCTCTTAAGAGCACCATGTGTTTACTTTGTTCAGGTACACCAGTGAAAATCCTGACACTGAGTGTATGGATCTTCCTCTTAAAGAGTTGTTTGATGATTTAAAAGGATATGAAACCTACACCTATAAAATCACAAATAAGCTGGGCATCAAGAGAGGTACAGTATGTGTTCATGTACACAGAACCACACCTTTGAATAGGCAGCATGTTTTTACAGACATTGAAGTTACATGGAGTTGTATCTTAAAATAATATTGGATCTGCAGCCTGTACACTAAATGTGTCAATACACAGTATTTATTTTATTTTTTTTGTTTTGTTTAGTTTAGTTTTGCCTCGTAAAAGGAAAAGGTTTTGTTGAAGGAATACACATTGATTTCTGCCTCTCTCCCCCTCAGTGTATGAACAGCAAGATGCTGCTGAGTACTTTGAGAAGATTTTAAATCTGACCAGTCCTCAGGCATCACAGGTAAAGACACCATCAATATCCAAGATAATCTTCACATTAAATGAACTTTTTGTTACAGTCTTTGTATTTTTGTGCTTTCAGATCTTTCATGGACTGTTGACACACAGGACCAAATGTTCTACATGTTTTACAGAGACTGACACCGATGGGGCATTTTGGCATCTTCCTCTTGCATTGGTGAATTCCTACAGCGAACACTACAGTGTGGTAAGGATCTAACAACCTGAAATCTATAAAACATTTTTCTATTGCCAGGAGATATCTAGTAAACTAAGTATATCTTTTTTTAAGGCTAGCATCTTTGTCAGAGACCTCATCAGCTGGGTGAAACACCATTAACAGCAACATTTGTGATTTATCAAAAACTTGAAATATTGCATATATTGTGTCAGAGCCAATCCATCCAAAAAAAATGTAAGGTCAACTTTACATGGAGCACGGGTAAACGTTATCCACCAACATACTTCATCATATAATGAAATGTGAACAGACAGTGATGGACGTCCTTAAAGAATAATCATCCCATGATATTCAGTTAAGTCTTGTAACTACAGCACATGATCCAATAACTACTTAAACTTCTATATTCCAGATGTGCAGTATACACACAAATCTTGCCAATACTATTTTTCTTCCTGTTTATTGGCACCTTTGCTGGTATCACGGCAAGCCTTTTAAACCTGAATTAACATGGAATGCAATAATTGGTTCTTATTTGTAACAAGTATATGATTAAGAAGTGATAACTGGAAAGCATCAAATGCAGTGTTTATTACCTGATTGTTGGTTGTCTGGCTTTGTTTTCATTAGGTGGATGGCATTGAAGAGTATTTCAAAACCACAGAATTCAGCAGAGAAAACCAGATGTACTGTGAGCATTGTGATGATAAATCTGATGCTACTACTGTGAGTAATGACACATTAACTG